GAATGCAAGTGTAAAATAAGGAAAGAAATTACGTAGGGGCTGAACATGTCAAATAAGGAAAATATTTTCAACACAGTACGAGTACACGACAAGTAATAGAGGTTAGGTTCATTAGGCCTTAATTAAGGAACGGTCTGTAATAATCACATACTAGTGTAATTAAGGTAATGAGATCAAATCAACTTAAGTAGAAAGGTAGGGTCGAAAGTTCAAAGGAAAGTGTTTCAACCAGTCCAAGAAACAAGGAAAATCAATACAATAAGGGAAGAATCAATTACAAGAGTGCAATCAGAATTACACGAAGAGATTTGAAATTAGTCCACAATCAAAGATTATTTTGAAAGAGAAATTTAACCTATAAAGAGTGCATAAACATTAAGCATGCGAGGCTAAACCATGGTAAAGAGAAACAGTACCAAAACTACGCAGCTGGTAGATAACGAAACATGATAGTCATATAGGTTGATTCAGTAATATGGAGAAGGGGGAGCAGAAGCATGCTAAAAGTAAAGCAAACGACCCTTCTAGAGGAGATAGCTTAGTTCAAAGATTGCAAGAAACCAAATCACATAAGAAACAACAGTTAAAACAAGAAGGACCTTGAATCCAATTAAACAACTTCAAGTAGACGAAACAATTTTTCATAGAGCCAAATGGGTCCGAAAGAATTAGGGCTTCGAGATCAAACCAATTCAGAGATGAGAACCAGACAAAACACATAGCAGATAACCTCAGAAGAAATATTCAGAAACCTCAAAGGAAACCAAGATTCCTGACATGCAAGTTCTAGGATGTCTTAAAGGGTCACAGTAGAAGGAAAGCACATAAATCACAATAGAAGTACAACATAAGAAATACGGCAAAGAATAACATAAGAAACACGACAGAACATGTTAAAAGAAATCATAAAAACTTTGAAATAATTTAACAAACCCTAAATCGGAAAAGATAAAGATTTTGATAACAAAGTTTTGAAGGAAATCTCGGAAAAAACGCTCAAAAGTTCAGGCAGAACACAGATCTACAACGTATCTGAAGAATTAGAAGAACCTCGAAAGTTATAGGGTTTCAGAAGAACCCTAAATAGCGAGAAAGACTTGGAAAATCACGATCTAAGCAGGAAACGTTCGAAACCAAGCTTAAACAGCCATGGTTGGCCGGAGCAAGGTCGGAGTCGAGCCAAAGGACTCGGATCAAACAGTGTCTGGGCCAAGCCTCTTCAAGGTTTGGTCTGGAAATCAGGATAGACGAGCACGTAGGAGTCTCAGGAGGCTGGTACAAGCCTTTAATGGCTTTGGAGGCCATAGATTCCGGTGGATCTCCGGTCTAAGGCGGCTAGGGTTTGAGAACCCTCGAGAGAGTTTGAGAGAGTGGAGGGTTTCAGATGCGGCGGTTGGTGAGAAATGAGGTAGGGTAAAAGGGTCGTTTGAATTAAAAAAGGAAGTGGATGAGGGGAGATCAATGACTTGGATTAAATGGGTTAAATGGGGACTGGGTTTAAGTATGATAGGAAAGGGTATTGGTCGGGTTATTGGGTCATTCAGTTGGGTGGAATTGGGGTTTGATTTTGGGCTAAAATTGAAATGTTAATGGGTTGTTTGTTAAATAGTCAATTTCTCCCCTTTTAATTTAATTAAAATAGTTTAAAAAGTTTTAAAGACCAATTAAAGCACTAAATTGATTAATAACATATAAATGTTAATTAAAAAATACTGGGAGCGATTTTGTAATTATAAAAATACTATTAATCAGAAGATAGGCTATAATTGCAATTATAGCAGTTTAGCTTTTAAAAATACCAAATGAATTATTTAAAATATGCAAAAATCCCCTTACTTATACCTTGGTGTAAATATGAGAGTAAAAATAAATTATTCACCAAGAATGATAGTCTGAAAATAATTACTGAATTTTGTAGTATTAAAATAGACAATAAATTGGTTTTAAAAGTCTTTAAAATTTTGGAAAAATACCAAAACATTTGGGTATGCTCATATATGCGTGTATATGTTATTTTTGAAGCATTTTGAGTATAAAAATATCTAGGAAAAAATTGGGTATCAACAGCTGCCCCTTTTTACCCAGGAAGGATGAAAGAGTTGTCGGGTAAAGATATGATGACCAATTTTGACCAAGAGAAACGACTTGCAAAATAAGGTCATCTTCTTTAACTCTTTCTAGGCTCCCCTTTAAAGCATTATAACTTCTGAATACTGAGTACACTCCATTATCAGCCAATTGATACACTCATCAGTGATACCAGTTCATCATTTGTGTTTTCAAAGAATTCAACTTCTTCTAATACCAGCTACAGTCTGTTGGTGGCCTGTGCTCCCATATATTGCCTTTGTCTTTCATATAAACTCCATGTACCCATTTTACCCATAACATGCCTTGTTTATCAGCTAACTACCATAACAATTTTCCTACTAATGCAATGTTTCACTCCCTACAACTCTTTATGTTAAAGCCACCATACTTTTTTAGATTACAGACTTTCTCCCGGGATACCAGAGCTAACTTCCTCTTCTCCTTATAGCTCCCCCATAGGTAGACCTTGCATTTCCTATCTACCTCTTTGAGCACACTTTAGGGTAATATAAACACATCACACCAAAAATTTTATATTGAAAATAGCACTGTATTGATTATTTGTAATCTACCAGCATATAACAACTGTTTGGAGTATGCATTTTTTATCATGTGAGTGATTTTACCCTCCAACTGATGACATTCCATCTTGCTCCATTTTTTTGAAGATAGTGGAAATCCTAGAAGTTTGATCTTAACAATAAATGTTGTGGTGGTTTGATAAGCACTCTTCCATTCTTAATCACAAGTTTCGAGGTTGAACGTAAGTATGAATTCGCTTTGTTAAGGAGCATGGGACTTTTATGGCAAATTCAAATTAGCAGACCTAAAAGCATAGATTGGACACCGAATAAAACTGAATATAAATGCAAATGCTCCTAATGGGCCAATTAGGTTGAAAGACTATATAGTATCTAGAGAAGTGCAATAGTAGTCACTTTTAAGCTCGCTATTTAAAATATATCCACAATTTACAATGTATTTAATATTAGCCAATTCATCAAAAATTGAGGACTAAGTACCTGAATTTTGAAATTCAAAACTTTATATCCTGAATTTTTGAGCTGCTAATTTGAAATTCAGGACTAAGTGTCTTAAATTTCTGAATTACTAATTTAAAATTCAGGACATGAGATTTCAACTTCTGGACATAATTGTTTGAACTTTAGGATGCCATCAAATTTGAACTTTGAGGTTTAAACTCTTGGACACCGTGTCCTGAAGTTTGAGATAAATTGGCTAATTGCTAAATATATTATACGCTATGGATATATTTTAAACAACGTGCTTAAAAGTGGCTACCTGGCATCATTTCCGTGGAAAATTCAGAAATAGCCAGATTTACAACTAGTCGTTCAAAAATAGCCCAATTTCAAAAGTAATCAAAATTTAGCCATTTTTTATGTAAAGATATATGTGAGCGAAAATACTGTTCAAAACCCGAAAAATGCTCCAGTATATTATGCTGGAGTTCCAGCATAACTATACTTGAACTCCAGCATATTATACTAGAGTTCCAACATAAGTACACTAGAACTCCATCATAATATATTGGAGTTCCAACAAGTATACTGGTGCAGTAAAATATACTGGAGTTTGGAGCACCGGTGCTCCAGTCTTTAGTATATTATACTGGAGCCAGCAAAGTATACCGGTCCAACATAATATGTTGGAGTTCATACACAGGTGCACCGAACTCTAGTATATTATGCTGGACGGTCTCTATTACAACAAAATAGTTGCTATTTTTTATTGACTTGGTAAGCGCGAACTATTTTTGAATGAGGAGTCCGAAAATTGACTATAACGTGCTATTTTTACATCATTTCCACATATTTCAAACTAAGAGGCCTAAAACGAATAAATTGACGTCAATGGCCCAATTTGGATCTATTCGGCCAGAACTTNAGTTTCTATTGTATGAAACCTGTTTGATAAAATGGCTAATAGATCTTGTGGGGTTTATTCAATGTTAAAGGTCACAATTTGAGCTTGAAAACGTGTGTGTACTACTATTTAGTTAGTCATGTGATTTTATTTGTGCCAATTTTGCACTTGAGAAATATATTGTTGCTCACATTTATATATACAGAAATTAGTTGCATTCAAAAGGCGTTGCTCTTACAATTTTTTAGGGTGTCAAGTTTATAAGGCTTTGGAAGAGAATAAATGTTAGGAGGGGATAAGAAGGAATTTTAATTTACTTTATTTCCCATAAAATAGCAGCTGAATAGACGATGACGACAACAACAACAACAAAAAACCCAATGTAATCCCACTAGTGGGGTTTGAGGAGGCTAGTGTGTACGCAGACCTTACCTCCACCTTGAAGGTAGTGAGATTGTTTCCGATAGACCCTCGGCTCACGAAGGATGAGACGAAAGCAAGCAGCTGAATAGAAAATTTCTCATTTACGTTTGAGAACTGAATTCCACTAAGCATAGCTAGTCCCGTTTCCAGATAAATGAGGGCTGCGCGTAGAAGTAGTTCTGTAGTGCTGCAATCTGAAATTTTTCTCGTTTCCCATTCATCCTAAGTTAGATTATTTAGTGAAGTGCTTATAAAAAGAAAGCGAAATTATCTTTTGCCTATATAGAGATCTTTCACAAATTGTTATGTTCGACCCTGAATTTAAATTATTCTCAAGTGTAAGCTAACTCTAACATTTAGTAAACATGATTTAATTGCAGAACATGTGCTTGGTGAAAAGTCCTTCCAAACAAACATATGTGATTACTCAAAACTCATTGATGAAGTGATATTTTTTTGTTACTTCAGTTGGTTCATATCTTTCTATTGAGACCAATGAAGGCCAAAGAAATAATAGCTCCTATTAACAAGGGAATTGATTCCAGATTGTGCATTTAATTTGAATGATCTGATGTTTTTTGACTGAACATTGTCCTGCTATGTGCATAGTGTGGTTCATTATCTCATCATACTAGTGTGAAATTTATTGTGCTTTTCTCTTCATAGATGAACTGATATAGTGTAGCTGGACTTGTTGATTGAGAGACCTTTTGTAAGCTGAAAAAATGGTGGGCTGGCAACGGCATCTTCAGTGCATGCTTCATCAAGCTGGGAAGAGATGTCAACAAAGTCGAACTGTTCCTTTGAATTCATTTTATCACTCAAAGTCATCTCTAGTACTTGGTAATGGTTGTTTTTCTGTTTATGCTTGATGAATTGATTTTGCTGCAATGTGACCTGTCAATAGAAGCACGCCAAGTTAGGGTTCAGGGTTGTGTTCACTGTCTTCCTTCAGTTGCTTTTCCTTTTTTATTTCTCAAGTCATATATCAACTTTTGATGGTTGAACAACATGTAATTTCTAGGTGAGGCACCTTACTTACCAAGCTTGCGGAATACAGTTTCATCTGGCATCTCAAGGCCGTTATACCAGTATCTACAGCATTTGGTAATGTTACAAAATCATTTATTTCATATACGTATGTGCCCTTGTATAGTGAATTGAGGTGGCATTGTGGCCGTGAATCTTTATTCCACCATTTTTTGTTTTTCTTTAATAAACTTTTGTTGTTTTGATTTCTCATAGTCGAAACAACATATCGTGTTGTGTACTATCTATTTTACAAAACATTCTATTTGTAGTGTTACAGGTGCTTGCCTAAGCCGTAACTGAGTGAGCCTGTTTATTTAAAATATAGCACCTTCACAGGTTCTGTCTATTTATATATCATGTTTTAGTTCTATATAAACTCGTTTTCTAATCCTTTATGGTCGTGCAATCAACTATTTCCCAGTTGGTATATTTATAAACCCATATGTACATAAAATTCCTATAATATACATGACGATACTTATATTACAGGTTTTCTATTAGGAATTAAAATATCCATTTCATCATTTTTTAAGTTTTCTCATATTTACAAAAGCCATTTCCAAGAATGTGTAGCCAGTTTGACAGCTATCCTTCACTTCAAATATGCAAGTTTAGATGGCTATAGTTTTTGATTCTTTGTTATCTTGAATTACAATATATTCACTGCTTCTCTGCATGCTGTATTTGTAGAACATTTTTCCTATTCAAATTAGTTTAATTGTTTCATAGTTCTAAATGTTGTTATTTTTCCTTCTTTTCCTATTTTTTTTCCTGATTAGGGGATCTCTAGTTCAAGGACCTAACATGCAGACTCAACCACACCAATTTCTTCTCCATTAACACCGCTTCTAACATCAAATACTGGAAATAAAGAAGCTGAGAAAGCAACTTCTAAACCTTCAACAGTTCAAGCAGTTTTGAAGGGGATAAAACAGGTATGCAATTCTGCTAATGTGTGAGGTAAATTAGATATGGTGAATATCTAATTTACCTCACACATTAGCAGAATTGCATGATGAGTTACGATATGGTGAGTAAATGTGGTTGCAGAGAGTCTTGTCATTCTTATTAACTAATCTCCTGGTAAACTTTATTTTCTTTTTTGAAAGTAATCTCCCAGTTACTTGATTACATATTAAATCTGTCGGCCTCTATATTTTAAACTGGTACTTGATAAAGTCTTTTAGAATATTGCTCAAGCTTTTATGTAAATTAGGAGGCAAAGCCTGCTGATTTAGCAACATACAGGGAATACTACTTTATATCCTGCAGTATATGAGCACAAAGGAGAATGTTAGGATTTTAGAATGTCTTAGCACTTGTTCTGACTGGTTCTAGATTCAATAATTTTGGTATTGGGGGGGCAGTGTGATTAAAAATGTAAATATGAGATAATATTGAAAAATAGGGACTTTATATGAATACATATCTCTTTTGTTTCATGCTGTTTGTGTAAGCTGACTTTTGTCCCATTGGAATGCATGTGACAATTGGGACCTTCTTAGGCATTGTTCTGATGCAATTTATAACTTAGTGAAAGAATACTTTGCTCCAACAATGAACAGGTATTGTTGGGACCTGATTGTTTCATCGATCCCCATTTTTAAAGTATTGCTTAATCTCCTTTCTTGTTTCTTTTTTACTTGATGAGTTTCGATTCTCTTTCTTTTTTTTTTACTCCTTCGTTCTGTCAAAAATCTCTTTTCCACCCAAAAAAAGAGTGAGGAATCTTACCATGCTCTCCTTTGATTTCTATGACACATGTCCCTTTCAGAGCCCAAAGAAGATCAATTTGGTTGCAGCATTAGTTCGTGGGATGCCTGTGTTGATACCCAATTTTTCCCTAGATATTTTTATACTCAAAATGCTTCCAAAATAACATTTACACGCATATATGAGCATAACCAAATGTTTTGGTATTTTTCCAAATTTTTAAAGACTTTTAAAACCAATTTATTGTCTATTTTAATACTACAAAATTTAGTAATTATTTCCAGACTATCATTCTTGGTGAATAATTTATTTTTACTCTCATATTTACACCAAGGTATAATTAAGGGGATTTTTGCATATTTTAAATAATTCATTTGGTATTTTTAAAAGCTAAACTACTATAATTGCAATTATAGCCTATCTTCTGATTAATAGTATTTTTATAATTACAAAATCACTCCCAGTATTTTTTAATTAACATGTATATGTTATTAATCAATTTAGTGCTTTAATTGATCTTTAAAACTTTTTAAACTATTTTAATTAAATTAAAAGGGGAGAAATTAGCTATTTAACAAACAATCCATTAACATTTCAATTTTAGCCCAAAATCAAACCCCAATTCCACCCAACTGAACGACCCAGTAACCCGACCCATACCCTTTCCTATCATACCCAAACTCGGTCCCTATTTAACCTATTTAATCCCAGCCGTTGATCTTTTAGATCAACGGCTCCCCTCATCCCCTTCCTTTTTTAATTCAAACGACCCCTTTACCCTACCTCATTTCTCACCAACCGCCGCCTCTGAAACCCTCCACTCTCTCAAACTCTCTCGAGGGTTCTCAAACCCTAGCCGCCTCAGACCGGAGATCCATCGGAATCTATGGCCTCCAAAGCTATTAAAGGCTTGTACTAGCCTCCTGAGACTCCTACGTGCTCGTCTATCCTGATTTCCAGACCAAACCTTGAAGAGGCTTGGCCCAGACACTGTTTGATCTGAGTCCTTTGGCTCGACTCTGACCTTGCTCCGGCCAACCATGACTGTTTAAGCTTGGTTTCGAACGTTTCTTGCTTAGATCGTGATTTTCCAAGCCTTTCTCGCTATTTAGGGTTATTCTGAAACCCTATAACTTTCGAGGTTCTTCTAATTCTTTAGATACGTTGTAGATCTGTGTTCTGCTTGAACTTTTGAGCGTTTTTTCCAAGATTTCCTTCAAAACTTCGTTATCAAAATCTTTATCTTTTCCGATTTAGGGTTTGTTAAATTATTTCAAAGTTTTTCTGATTTCTTTTAACTTGTTCTGTCGTGTTTCTTATGTTATTCTTTGCCGTATTTCTTATGTTGTACTTCTATTGTGATTTATGTGCTTTCCTTCTACTGTGACCCTTTAAGACATCCTAGAACTTGCATGTCAGGAATCTTGGTTTCTTTTGAGGTTTCTGAATGTTTCTTCTGAGGTTATCTGCTATGTGTTTTGTCTGGTTCTCATCTCTGAATTGGTTTGATCTCGAAGCCCTAATTCTTTCGGACCCATTTGGCTCTATGAAAAATTGTTTCGTCTACTTGAAGTTGTTTAATTGGATTCAAGGTCCTTCTTGTTTTAACTGTTCTTTCTTATGTGATTTGGTTTCTTGCAATCTTTGAACTAAGCTATCTCATCTAGAAGGGTCGTTTGCTTGACTTTTAGCATGCTTCTGCTCCCCCTTCTCCCTATTACTGAATCAACCTATATGACTATCATGTTTCGTTATCTTCAGCTGCGTAGTTTTGGTACTGTTTCTCTTTACCATGGTTTAGCCTCGTATGCTTAATGTTTATGCACTCTTTATAGGTTAAATTTCCCTTTCAAAATAATCTTTGATTGTGGACTAATTTCTAATCTCTTCGTGTAATTCTGATTGCACTATTGTAATTTATTCTTCCCTTATTGTATTGATTTCCCTTGTTTCTTGGACTGGTTGAAACACTTTCCTTTGAACTTTCGACCCTACCTTTCTACTTAAGTTGATTTGATCTCATTACCTTAATTACACTAGTATGGGATTATTACAGACCGTTCCTTAATTAAGGCCTAATGAACCTAACCTCTATTACTTGTCGTGTACTCGTACTGTGTTGAAAATATTTTCCTTATTTGACATGTTCAGCCGCTACGTGATTTCTTTCCTTATTTTACACTTGCATGTTACCGTTTGATTTAATTCCTTAATTAAAGGAAGTCTTTGATACCAATTTGATTTTAATGAACACATATTCCTTAATTATGTCTGAATTACAGTCCTTACCTTATTTTCTACCTGTTTCTCACCCTATAAATACCTGTTTTTTCATTAACACAAGACACCACCAACACTCGAGTTTTCTGAACTCACACTCACACACAAAAATATTCTCTCTTGTACTGTGGTTTACTTGCAAGACCCCTGCTTTCTTCTGCTTGTTTCTTTCTGAAACTGGTATGTCCTAGTTCTAATTTCAGCACCAACTCCAATGTTTTTACTTACCAGCTCTCATGTCTATGCTTACTTTAAATGTTTGTAGGATTTAACTTTTGTGCAATGTGCTTATGACTTGTTCACTTCTTGTAATGAATCCCATTCCCATACCCTCTATGTGTTTGAGCTATATTTTAAAACATGGCAGTATATATAAGTTATTGCCATGGATATAGCTTGAAAGAGCTATATTTCAAGCTCTTTCAATTTCCCATCCCCATTCCCTTTATATGTGCTGAGTAAAAGCCTAAGCCTGACAATATTCTAATTACTGCCCAGGTCATGGCTTGGCCTTCAATAGGCCCTAACTCTCCAATGTTTGGCTAATAGGCTGGTCAGGGGTGTGCCAACACTCCATGTGCCGGGCATGACCACAACCTACCTTGGCATCCCCTAACTCCCTCTATTGCACTTACACTTGTTCCGAGACTCTAAGTTCTGCCCCTTTCAATGAGCCTTGCCTTGGGACCTTGAGCTCCCTCTGAACTTGGACATTGGCGGGCTGACCCTTCCATACTGCACCTTAAGTCAGTTCTGTAATGATATCTGGGTGTAAGCATTGCTTGGGGTTCTTGAAACTCCTTGGAACTTTGATACACTCCAGATAAGCGAGAGGCCTTGGAAATCTTGATCCTGGAAGTTTGGTTCATTTCATATTGTTAGATATTAATTCTGAATTAGGCTCCTTAGATGTAGCTTAAATTTCTGATGTAATTTTATTTCCAGTTTGATTCATTCGGTCTGTAATAATTTGTAATACTTATGGGGGCTTTAGTAAAGAAAAATGAGGGAGTTACTTTATGTATGCATAAGGGTAGACATCCTGCCTATAGGGTTTGCTTCTGAATCTCTGCACTTTCATATATAGAAACCATGTATTCCGCATATCATATAGAAATCATGTTCATAAGATTTCTGCGCTTTCATATATAGAAATCATGCTCATAGGAATCTCTGCACTTTCATATATAGAAATCATGCTCATAGAGATTTATGCACTTTCATATATAGAAACCATGCTCATAGGAATCTTGCACTTCCATATATAGAAATCATGCTCATAGGAATTCTGCACTGTCATATGTAGAAACCATGCTTATAAGAACTCTGTATATCATATAGATATCCTGCTCATAAGAATTCTGCATGTAGAGACCATGTCTTTAAGATTCTGCATTTTCGCATCTATCATTAGGCAAACAGTTATAGGTCAAATAAAAATCAATTGCATCCTAGATATCATGCTCGTAGGATTTCTGCACTCTTGCTACGCCTGTAAAAAGTGCCTAAAATTAACAACGCTAGAAAGCATGCCTATAGGAAATATCGATTCTGAACTGTCACACTCGTTTAAGCAATATCAACGGTAAAACTTGTATTATTCTGTTAAAATTGGCAATCTTTTTTCTGTACTCAGTTTGCCTCTTTCCTGAAACCAGTAGATACCATGCCTATAGGTCTGTTTAACACCTAAGCAAAAGTTTAGGTAAATTAATCAATAAGGTCAGTCTTTGACAACTGCATCTAAGCGGATCTAATGCGGACTTCTTGTCTAAAAATATGTGTTGAACCAGTCCGCTTAACGCCTTAATTTAATCCAGACCAAACCAGTATATGTAAGACATGATAAACTATATGATTTTTTGGATCTAAGGAGGTTTATTTGAGCCATATTTGTTTACCTGCCTACCAATACTTGCATTATATGTTTTGAATATCGCCTTAGAATTTTATCATTTGCTAACCCTCAAAAAGACCCAAACTCCTTTCCCCCTTTAGGATTAGTAGTCCCAAATGCCTCCGGGACTGATAGGATTGGGACGGGTACTACCATGTAATAAGTAACGATACTTTCTGCGTCTTAATACCTTAACGAGGTGGGAAGGGTAGAATATGAATATGATGACCGATGCGCTAATATCACGTGCAACCCCTGTTCTGAGGAGCGATAGCTGGGTATTGCATTGATGTGATCCATATTGATTACAAACTTAGGACTCCCTTCCCTTTATGTGTTTATTACTTGTTTTCTCTATAAGTTACTTAAGCTTTTCACAAAATCCTACCTTGTCTCTTTCCTCAAAAAACTGGATTTAAACTTGTGTGCAAGCCCTTTTATTTGAGCCTTAATTGCTTATTTGTAAAGTCACAATTGTAACATGTCCGGGAACCACACTAGTGGATCTTGAGGGATGCCTAACACTTTCCCCTCAAGATAATTTCTAGACCTTACCCGAACTCTGGTGTCGTAATGCACTTAATCATTAGGTGATGACTCTTCAATTCCAAAAACCCAAATTCCTAAACGGGAATAGAGTTGTCTTCCCAAATGTCGTAGACCCGATTTCGCCTTTAGGAGGGAAAAAGGCGGCGTCGACAGCATGACGACTCTGCTGGGGATTCTTTAGGCTTCTACCATATCATGTTATATGTGACTTTACTGTTTTCTTTATTGCTTTGTTTAATGCCTCTATTCAAAACTGACTTGTCTTTTGTTTCCTTTTCTTTAACGCTTTCATTTACTGCTTTCCTTCAATACCGTTGTATTTTTTTTCCGAGCAATTATTGTAATCATTATGAACGTGAAAATACGTGACAATTTGTTTCATTTTTGTAA